GAACAAGACGATAAATTCGATCACAATCAAAAGGGGGGAAAAAGTGGCAACCTTGCACAAATCAGTAAATCGATCTTGGACGGGCCCTGAATCGCTGCTCTCGGAATTTGAATTGTTGGAAGCTGAAACTTCAGGCTTAGTATCTTCCATCTTCACCATAGCAGGTGGACTCATCTACACCCTAGCTGAACCAAACCAAAATTAAAATTACAAAAGTACAAAACAAAATTGAAGATTTGAAGATGCAAGAATTTGAATTGCCAAAAGCACACTACTTAAAAAAATCCCGTAAATCCCGAGATTTATACCCAAAAAAGAAAGAAAATTTTCAAAACCCAGAACACCAATTCTCACTGTACGTTTACGAACCGCTGTAATTGATCTCTTCAGTCACTCGAGCAAATTTTCGCTCCAAAAATTCACTAAATCTACTTCGTAGAACAGTCCATTAAGCTTTAAAATAAAATTAAAAAATAAATAAATAGTAACCAACCATCAACAAGCAGAAAAAGCATGACAAAAATGAAAAATAAAATCCAAAAATTAAAGTAAGAAAAAAAGCATACGAATTTTTATTCCGAAGCGAAACCCGCAGAGATCTACCTATATCTGATCCCTTTGTCGGAGCTCTCGGCGAGCAGCAGATCTGCCAATGTTAAGCAAAACAACGGCGTTCTGTTAAGCGGAGGCTCTCTCTCTCTCTCTGTGATTCTGGAACCCTTTCTCTCTCTCTTCCTCTTCCTTTCTCTCTGTAAATTCGTTTGGTTTTAGACCTCTTTTTGGGGAAACCCTGCGTATGGTAGCGCGGGAAAAACAATATAGCATCCCATCATGACTCACATACATACATACATACGAAGCATCCGAGGCCAATGGCGATGAGACACGTCATCAAGGTTAGGTGCCTTTTACCGCCAAAATTTCTCACCGTTACGTCTGACGAGATTCGCCGGGCGAAATGTAATGATCGCGTTTCTGCCGTTACGGCCTGGGTGACGGAAGGGTAGGACTGTTGGGGGATATTTTAGTCTCGTCGTCTCTCTCGGTAAAAGCGAAGCGGCCCACGGCCCACGTGTGGGAGCGGTGGGGCGCACTTTGTTTATGTCTTCTTTCCGACGGGTCCCTTTCCAACATCTCAATGTCGTTTCTTTTTTTTTTTGGGCCCACTCAACAGCCGGCATTTTTGATATGGAAAATGCTAGGCAAACATGGAAGTAGATCCTCTTCGGATCCCTTTCTTTTAATTCAACAAATCAAGAAATCTAAATCATTTAAATTTGATTTAATAGTTACAAATAACGACTTACTTTAAAAGTTATAATAACTTTAGCAGTTGGATCAAATTTCAATGGTCCGAATCTCCTGATTTGGTGGATTAGAAGGAATGGATCCTAAAAGATCCCTTTCCGGCAAACATTACTATATTTATAAATTATGTGATGTTTTATTAATAAAAAATAAATACGTTCATAAAAATTTTAAGCAATAATTTGATTATCAACAATTACGTCATATAATATTATCTAATTCTTGAAACCTAGAGAAAATCTATAATTTTTAAATGGGATTTTTTAACATTAATCCCTCAAGAAGATTGAAATTTAAAATAAACCTAGTGTTAGAATACATATTGATTATAGTCCCTTGATATGTCCTTAATTCAAAATAAATAATGTGCATTTTATTTAATTCTCCCATTAAATATTTAAATTTATTAATATACAAATTTAAATTTTTTTTTTTACCAAAAAAAGTTTTTTTTTAATTTATTAATTATATTTAACATTCTTCAAACTTGAAAGACTCAATTAATGTACCTAAATATATGTATCAAAATGTATTATATTAAACTCATGTATTTAAATATTAGTACCAAAATGTATGTACTGAAATATATGCACCGAAATGTAGTATATTAAATTAATGTACCTAAATGTGTGTACCAAAATGTATGCACCTAAATGTTAGTACCGAAATGTATTATATTGAATTGATGTACCTAAATGTTTTTATCAAAATGTATGTACTGAAATGCGTGTATCTAAATGTATGCACCGAAATATATTATAATGAATTTAATGAATGAAGAAGACAAAGTACATCGAAATATGTTGTACAACAAAAATTAGTTTATCTAAATGTTTACAACAAAATATAGTACGATAAATGAAATGAAAATTATAATTATAATGAAATAAAAAGAGAAATAATTAAAAAGTGCAAATGTAATTAATAAATGAGGTTATTAATGTATAAATGGACAAAAATTATACTTTGATCTTACTCATGGTTTTAGTCTAAAAGTCATCTTGGCCAAGGATTAGAATAAAGTTTCTATTTTTAAATTGGTATTATCTAAATTCTTTGATTTTATTTATATTTTGTTTTGCTAAAAAATAAACTTCATTTAAAAGGAAAACCTTTTGGTACAACCAGTTTCAGTATAAACAAATAAAAAGAGCATTAGAAGCAACGGTGGGGATACATCTATGCCAAAAGGCTCACATTCGCAATAACGTCTGCTAGGACGTTTGCTTGCCTAAAGATATGCTTCCCTTTGATACAAAGGAAAGAGAAAAGCTAACCATTGAATGTCCTCAATTATTGGTCTTAAATCTCCAAGAAACGCTTCATAAGTTCTATACCGCATCAATAACAAGTTTGGAATCTCTCTCGACGCAAATCTGAAGGAAGCCCTTTTGTTTAGCACACCTTGAAGCATCCGCAAAGCCTCTCCATCCCAGCATTTATCGACTGTAACATCACACGCCCTTAGATCCCAGTTCAAGGTAGGTCTAGCACTCTCGAGGACAAGGCGGATGAGTGGAATAGCGAATAGCCGTGTTTGATATGGAACAGAACTGTGAGAAAACACATGAAGGTAAAGATTGGTGCATTAGTCGGTCAGGACAACTTTTTTTGAGCAGTAGTGGTGGTCCTTCCCTTAAGACAACTTTTACCAAAAGTCTACAGATCCTCCAGTAAGAAAATGCGACTATACGACATGGGTCAGGGCAAAAGAGTAGAGGAACACTTACACAGACTTGGAAATGAGACTTTTAAGAAAAAATATGAAGTTATTGGAGCTAATCGAAAACTTGGCACAAAACCAAGTGTAATGGTGTTTCAAGATTGATGCAACCAACCCTACTTTAGTGAATATGGATTGATTGTTGTAGTGGTGGTCCTTCCAAGATAACGGGGACGAATCAAGGGTTACTCTTTCTTAAAGATATAGCGTCGGAACAACGCAGGGAAAGACTGACATAAGATATCTCATATTTTCCTAAAAAAAAAAAAAAAAAAAAAATGGGTATCTCACATTCCCTCCATGAAGAGTGATGAAGGAGTGATCAGATGCGCTGTCATAGCAAAGCTCGGTTTCATTTCGCTTTCCGATCAAAGCCAGGTAAAAAACATTTCATGCCTTTCTCAAGTAAAATTTCCATCCATCAAGAAGTGAGCTCCCTTATTTCGACATGAAAAGATAAAAGGCCCAATTGGATTATTAGTTCTGGTAGTAATAAGAAAGTTGGAAAATAAACCTGTGATAAAAAATAAAAAAAATTAGGTACAAAATTAAAAATTCCGTCAATTCTCCTTTAATTGTTAGCCCGTGAACCATACATGTGAGTCCAAAACATAACTCTTTGATAATTGTCAGTGTATAAGGTTCACGCACTAACAATTATCAGAAAGTTGACAAAACTTTTAATTTTGTATCTAAATTATAACGGGTTTTACCACAGAGCTTTAAATCCTAATTTGTTGACCACAAGGACTATCTTTCGACTTCTCTATCACCTCGGGACTAATAATCCAATTAAGCCAAAATAAAAACAAGCCTACATAACGAAGCAGAATGTAATTAAAGTAATAATTCTCCAAGTTCCGACGATTCCACTTTCAGTCTGTTAACGTTTTGGGACCTTAATAACACAAGCGTGCAACAAAAAACATAAACATGGAAATCTGAATGACAGAAATGTCAACAACAAACCTGTAAAGTCTCACACCTTTGCATATATTCTCAATCCGAAAGAGTATACATGAACACTTGTACCATAACGATAAATACGGCGAGGCAGGATCCTTCCAGGAAATGTAATTAATAAATGAGGTTATTAATGTATAAATGGACTAAAATTATATTTTGATCTTACTTGGAAATGAGACTTTTAAGAAAAAACATGTAATTATTGGAGCTAATCGAAAACTTGGCACAAAACCAGGTGCAATTGTGTTTCAAGATTGATGCAACCAACCCTACTTAGTGAATACGGATTGATTGTTGTAGTGGTGGTTCTTCCAAGATAACGGGGACGATCAAGGGTTACTCTTTCTTAAAGATATAGTGTCGGAACAACGCAGGGAAAGACTGACACAAGATATCTCACATTTTCCTCCAAAAAAAAAAAAAATATATATATATATATATATATATCTCACATTCCCTGCATAAAGAGAGATGAGTAAGTGATCAGATGCACTCTCATAGCAAGCTCGGTTTTCATTTCGCTTTCCGATCAAAGCCAGGTAAAAAACATTTTATGCCTTTCTCAAGTAAAATTTCCCTCCATCAAGAAGTGAGCTCCATTATTTCGACATGAAAAAATAAAAAGCCTAATTGTATTATTAGTTCCGGTGATAATAGGAAAGTCGGGAGATGAAAACAGTGATAAAAAAATAAAAAAAAAAAAGATTTAAACCCTTGCTGTGAAGTGCGTTAGAATTTAGGTACAAAATTAAAGTTCCGTCAACTCTCCTTTAATTGTTAGCCCGTGAACCATACATGTGAGTCCAAAACATAACTCTCTAATAATTGTCAGCACATGAGATTCATGCGCTAACAATTATCAGAGAGTTGACGGAACTTTTAATTTTGTACCTAAATTACAGGGGTTTAAATCCTAATTTGTTGACCACAAGGGCTATCTTTCGACTTCCCCATCACCACGGGACTAATAATCCAATTAAGCCAAAATAAAAACAAGCCTACATAACGAAGCAGAATATAATTAAAGTAATAATTCTCCAAGTTCCGACGATTCCACCTTCAGTCTGTTAACGTTTTGTTACCTTAATAACACAAGCATACAACAAAAAACATAACCATGGAAATCTGAAAGACAGAAATGTCAACAACAAACCTGTAAAGTCTCACACCTTTGCACTATATTCTCATTCCGAAAGAGTATACATGAACACTTGTACCATAACGATAAAAACAGCGAGGCAGGATCCTTCCAGTAAAAGTCGAAACTGCCACGCCACACAGCACCCCACTGCCCAGTTGCTTAAAACAGAGAAACCAACCTGGATGCAGAGTTGAGAACTAAATGGTCGCAAAAAGTGGGGTGAACGCGAACTCTTTTCCAAAATACGAGTTCAATTTGTAACCACAACTTTACCGACAAAAAAATGATGATGTAAATCATCATTGTATTTCTTCTAACTAAAGAGTTTTTGAGTTCCTTTTCGCCAAACACCTTTGACAGGCAATCCTCCAGCCGAGTTACTGCTCCTCCCATCTAATCCTTCATCACCGGCATCTGCTTGAGAATCAGAATTTCTGCTATCTAAAAGTGCTGCAGCATCACCCAAGCGGACTCTATCAAATTTGGAGGTTTTCTTCCGCTGCTTGCTCCCTCCACCACCATCCACTAAATTTGGCCTAGCAGCTGGCGTGGAATCCTTTTGGCCCCTTGGTTGCACTAGAGGTTGACTGCGAGAATTCAACTCCTCCTGGTGCCCATTCACTAACAGATTTGATTTTCCTTTGGCAGCACGGTACCCATCCTTTGTCAACACCTCCACCACTTCTTCCGTAGGCCTGTTGTTTGATTGAAGTTCCCGTACAGAGCTAATAATGCTATCTGCTAGCGTGTTCTTAGAATTACTGTTTTCAGACTCCGAAATCTTCCCTTTACCTTTCTTAGAATTATTACCATCTTTCAATTTAGGACTGTCCTGAGACCATCCGTTGCGGGTACCAGTATTGTAGGCATCGATAAGCTCCTTCTGCTTCTGAGAATCAGGGCAGAGTCTAGCCAAATCAAGGACAAGATGAAGCAAGCCAAACTGCCGCACAAAATCTAAATATATTCCTGTGTCAACCAAACCCTGGCGATACTGTCCAGATATGTCTTTAAAAATAGTGTATTTTTCTTCGTCAAATTCAAGACCGGCACGAATCTTTTCCACTAAGGACTTGTTAGCAGTTTGAACATCCTCCACTTTCAATATAGGATGGGTAGTTGAAGGCAACTTACGCACTTGTACTGCAGAAACAGGCGGAAAATCAGAATTGGAGGGTTGAACAGATCCATTTTCGACCAAATTAGGAGCTGACGTAGAGTGGCCGATCCTACCAGATTTGGTGTTGCTTGAATCCCTTGAAGAACCTGATGATAACAATCCAGGTATTGTTGTCTGTTCAACATAAGCTGCAGAACTTGCATAACTAGATGGTCTCGATCCATTAGCAAAGGCATTCTGTCTAGTCTCAACTTGAGCCTGAGTGGAACTGGCATAACTAGATGGTCTGGGTCCATTACCAGAGGCCATATTGCTCTGACCAGAAACACGAGATGAAACACTTGTCGCGGGTGAAGCCTGAGCTGAATTAGTAGGTTGTACTACAGGCCCCCGAGTTGCTGCTGGCCAAGCCTGTCCAGAACTATTAACAGCCACAGGCCCACGTGTTGCTGCTGGCCAAGCCTGTCCAGAACCATTAACGGCCACAGGCCCACGTGTTGCTGCTGGCCAAGCCATTCCAGAGCTATTAACAGCCACCTTGTGGTTGTTTTGCCGGCGGAGATGCGCAGCCATTGTGTTGCTAGGCAGACTATCTGAGTCTTGTTTGGGGTCTGAACTGTTGCCAGCTGCCATTGAGAGGGGAGGAAAGGAAGATTCTTCCAAACGCCCATTCCTAGAAATAGGCCCCACGGCCTGACGGTACCTTGAAGATGTTTCAATATCTGTTGCACTTAATGATTCAAATGAATCAGCGATCGGATCAATATCGCCTGTATCCCCAATATCTGGAGGAACTTGCAGTCTGGAGGATGAAGGATCATCGTATGTTCTATCAGCATGAGCAGTCTCCAAACTTGCTTGAACAGCAATAGAAAGTTGATTTTCAGAAGAATCGCGATGAAATGCCAGACCTCTTCCACCTCTTCCGCCTCTTCCACGTCGATGATCTTGTTCACTACTTCGTTGATATCTGAAGCTGGTTGGTATCTGTTACAGATATATGACGAAAGATAATTATATTGCATAAAAACTGAATTACAAATAAAAAAAAATGAGAGAAGAACTGAGCCTCGATGCAGAAGGGAAATTGCAGAGAAGAACAAAAAAATAGTATGCCTACCTGCAGAGCAGCATTACGCTTGGAACGAGACATGCTCCCTCCATGTTCAAGTGTATTATGCCTCTGAAAAATAAATAAGAAGGGGAAGTCAAAAATTAAATACTGCAAGAGCAGGAACGCATAAGTTTCTCACATTTTATAAGTCACCTTCATTTCTGCCTCAGATTGGAAGACAACAAACTTTTTGCTGAGGCAGGACTCATCTTCACATAGAAAATGACCTTGGCGGAAGTGCATCTGTGACATACAATGAAAAAGCATTCATAACACATATACAGCAGCAGGAAAAACATAATACAAAATAAATAACACTAATAACTTACCTCCAGGTCATCATAATTCTTATAATATTCATATTGTCCAGGATTCTGCCTGCATTGAACAGCAGAAATCACATATGCGCTTGAACATTTTAAAAATTACAATCAAAACATAGCACTCTTCCAGTGAAAGACGGTCGAATACCTTTGGCATATATGACAAGTATAGTGATCAGTAGTCATGTGGGAGTACAGCTCATTATCGCCATAAAATGGGGTTCTGCAAAACTCACACATAGGATGTCCCATGAAGCCACCTCTTTCACTCTCACTTCCATCCACTTCAGAGTCACCTGTATTTATATGCCGCCTCAATTGAGTTCTAGTATATAGTTTTTGTTCACATATAAACACCTGCGTAACATGAAAGAAGCTAATTAGATAAATCAAATAAAAATGATAATACCTAAGAAGACAGAAAGAAGATAATAGAGCAAAAGCGCTGCTTGAAATGTAAATATACGATAAATATCAAGTCTCTTAGCAATCAGAGTAACGACTTTTACCTTCCTCCCTTCCAAACATAAGGAGCACATCCACAACCTATGTTGGTGGAATAAATGATTCTTCAGATGATCAAGGTTCCGAATCTTCCCACGACGCTTTGGGCCATCATTTGATTGCTCATCCATCTTGTCACATTCGCTACATGAAAGCTTGCACATTGCCTTGATCATCTTGTAGTGGTCCACATCATCGAAAAATGCTTGAGTGTCCTCGTGGTACCAATATGGTCCAATGCGACCCTCCCTTACTTCAGTCGGCAAGACTGAGAAGTCATTAATCATCCTTGTATAATCTCCTAAAGCCTGAAAAGATCGTCAAGGCACACCGCATAAGGAAACCAGAAGCAGAGAAGAATCAAGAAAGTGCGTAGAAGTTAATGCATCCCACTTACAACAAGTTACAACGGAGCAGGCACTGAATAATGTATCTGCTAAATTATGTAAAGCTAGAATTTTTTCACAATAAACAGATACATCGACAATGAACAAAAATTTAAGAAAGTGTGTACGGGCAAATGCATGCCACTTAAACTTCTACAAAAAGCTCATCGAATAAAACACAAATCATGCAGCCAAGAAGCTCATTACATTCAAGGGCAAGAGAATCCAATATGCACCACAATGATAAGTCAATAAATACCAAGAGAATTCAACCCGAACAAGCAAATCGAATGCGAAACAGCCCAGAAAAACATAATCCTACAAAAAAGGACAAATCTTTCCCGCTTCTGCGTGTATCAAAGTTCTCACAAAGAAAATTCACATATCAAAAACCCACAATTATAGTTTGAAGTTTCATCACAAAATCCTAAGCTAAAAAGTAAGAATCTTTAACCCAAGATCAGAGAACAATATAGCACCTTGGTGATAAAAATGACGTCGGACTCGGTCTTGCAGATGCAGCATCGGCGATCGTTGCAGATGAAGCGGAGACGAACGACGCAGGTGGAGCAGACTTCGCGATGTCCACAGGCACCGTAGGCAACCCATTCCAGAGTATCGGCACACACCGCACAGCTGTCGTCCATGGCTATCGTTCAAGCTCTGTGCGTGCCTCTGGGATTGGAGAGCGGAAACCCTAATTCGGAGGTTGATTGAAGGTGGAGGAGGGTTAGGGGATCTAGGGTTTTTATACAATCGATTGGAATTAAATTCTGGGAATGTTGTGAAATTGGGAAAGGAAAGCAAAAATTGAGTCGGTTGAGGATGAATCTGCAAAGGTTTTTGTTGAAGCCAGATATTATACAACTCCGTAAGAAGATGGAAGTCCTTCCCCCTCAAGTTAAAAAAGAGGGGGGCAAATCCGTACGGAAAAGAATTTATCTTTAAACTTTTACTTTCCCACTTTTATTAGCACGTAAATTCGTAAATGTGGATGCAAGTTTTTGTTGGGGCAATTAAAAGACCAAATTTGTATATAAAATTTATAAACTAAATAATATATCAACGTTTATCAAATTTTAATTAATTATTCAATTATGAACTTCTATGTTATTTAGTTTACAAAAATTTATCTACAAATTTAGTCTTTCTAGTATTATCCTTCAAGAAAACTTGCAAAATAAAAAAAATTGAAAGATCAATTGAAAACATCAATGTGTTGTTTGCCAATGGGATGTGATTAGCAGTAGTGGTGGAGTTCTAATTTTAGCTTAGAAGACCCAAAGTTTCAAAACGTTTTATGGATCTAATATAAGTTACCGTGTTGTGTGGTGAGCAACCAATTACTATAGTTTGGGTCTGGTATGGAGTCATGCTCATCATCATCTTCCGTAAAACCTAAACTCCAAGTCTCTGTGACTTTCTTCCTTTCTTTTTCCATTGATTCCCTTACTAGAATCCTCTTCAAAGCTCACAAGCAACAGATTGCTTGAACTCAATAGGAATCACCAACCTCAAATCATGTCTGACGAATAAAATTAAGGTAAAAATATCGATTTGGGTCCTGAACCTACAAAAGACAAAAAATTATAAGCATAACATTAAACTTTTCTATACAAAAAAATGTCAAGACTATCTTAGTCCTTTCGTGGCTCCACCCTTGATCACCAATTTTTTGTATGACTCGTTTATCTATATGGAAGAAGTCCATAAGTTGTGTGCTAAACTAGAGCAAGGCAGACCGACAAGTGAGCAGTCGACTAACCGGTGGAGAAGTATTCCTTTGGGCTCTATGGGTTTTGTGAGAGTCCAAGTAAATCTTACGATCCCAAAAGAGCTTGATCAGATAAGATCCAGCAGAATCTTTAAAGATAACAAGTACGACCAATTAGAATTGCAAAGGAAAGGAGTTGAAGTTTCCTTTTCTGTTTTTGGGTCCGAAGAAAACTTAGCTTTATATTTACTAGATTGTCAAGTAAATAGAAATAGTATATTATAACCGTTCATTTTTCGTTCTTTTGAATAATTGGGACCGTTTATTAAAGTAAAAGTGTGCCACTTTTTAACTAAAGAAAAATGAAACAAATATAAAGTTCCTTGAACCTTGCGCATCTTGAAAACCCAGGCCTCATATGCAAGATTTAATTCAAAGATGATCAACTTGTGCAAAAAACTGTGTGTTTTTTTTTTTTATTAAAAAACGATATTATTTGCCCAAGAGAGGGGAGGTAGACTTAGCCTCATAATGAGCCAGTAATAATGTGATTCAAATTCGTTTTTGACGAGAATTGAACCTAAGACCTCTCACTTACAAATAAAGAAAAATACTACTAGATCGTAGTACTAAGTGGCAAAACACCGTGCATTTCGATATGAGTTTTCTTCCAAATCCTCAAATATCCCAAATTTTCTTGACAACAAAAAGAAAAAAATAAAATAAATCCCAAACTTGGGGAAGTAGTAGCACATATTTAAATGCTCGAACTGGTTTATGGATTTCATTGTTCTTTAAATGACAAGTATTTTTCATTTCTCTCAACTTGAGAAGGAGAATTTGAGATGCAACTTCAATTAACTTAATTCAAAGTCAACGAAAATATTAATATAATCAAATTCTCTTGATTAACGATGATTAACAAGGGAAGGTTCCTGCCAGTGCAGGAGCAGGACAATACATGTATGTAACACTCTGTATATGTGTATATAACACTCCGTATATGTGTTTCCTTGCCTATAACGTACGAACATTAGCTATTCAAATTGCAGTTTTAATACCTCATCATTCTGACTAGTTTTCCAAACGAGCTTTAAATCTTATCACATAAAATTTGAACTTGGTCTTTTGTAAGATTTGTGCTTCTTCTCTTTCGCATATTTCTCGACAATAGATTAAAGCCACCTCTAGAACTCCCTATTTTCATGTTGGATTTTGGTTCATGCATTCATTTCAATATTTTGTCTTCCTGATTTATATGTGTGTAGCAAAAATCTACCGTCTTTAGTCTTAACGAATTTATACCTACAAAATAATCAACAACTTTGATAAAAGACCAAAGCCTCACACGCCCACGAGGTGAACGGTTTGCCAAATAGATCTTTGATGCTTAAGTCAGCAACTCTGAAAAGAGTGAAGGGTTTAGGGCTTGTGTGCTTAACAAAAGTTTATATGCGGATACGAATGCTAGACTGTGATGTTGTATGCTGAGTTACACTAGGCTTGTTGAGTGTACGTTACTTGAGAATTCCAGCATGCTTGTGAATTCTGGGTACTAAACTGAAATTAACTGTAAAAGGAAAACGATGCTGAGGATCGAGGAAGTACCAGTTTGAGAGACGAGGATTGAGGAAGTACTAAACTGAAAGTAACCGTAAAAGGAAAACTCTTTATGTGCTTCATGTGTACAATTAGCTCTAGAGTTGTTGAGAGTATGCGACGTTAGAGAGGAAAATCTTCCATAAAGTGATACATGCTCACATTCTAACAGTGTTGAACCTCATTGAAATCCTATTGATGCCAAAAATTGCTTCAGCGGTCAAGATGGGAGATGGATAGATCACATTCACACATAGAGACACAAGAGGTACTTAGTTCACCAAGATCAGCTACGTCCACGGGATTAGAGAGTGCATACAAACAATCCAACGTAGTTTGATTCTCTCATCCCTTCGTTTCCTTTTAAGTCCTCAAGGTAGTAGAAAAATTGCTCCCTTAGTAAGCAAGGTTAATGTAGGACATACAAGTTCTGTTAATATGGGGGTGACTAAAAGCAGGTGGATCAAGAAGTTTAGTCCACATCAGATGCAGGCTGACTAACCAGACGCTTAATCATCTTCATCTTCAGTCTCAGCTAAAAATATTGAAAATATAAATGTTTACTTCAGGGTTGTTTGATAACTATTTCGTTAACTTAAATCTTGTTTGGTAACTACTTATCAAAAACTGAAAATTACCGGTTTTCAAACAAAGTAGAAACTAAAGATCAAAAATAAAAAACTGAAAATTAAAAACGAAATAGTTACCAAGTGGTTCCTTAGCCGCTTCCATTTGAATTGGCATGTTCTACATGCAAGGAAGTTCTGTAGATTTGCATATAACCTGTACAAACTGATGTTACATCTACTAGCTCTTAAGACAAAGGAGAGGAAACGACACAATATTAAAGAAAGAGTAAATGATAAATAAAAATAAATAAATAAATAAAGAGTCAAAAAAGAAATAAATGGAGGGCATGAGTCATGACTGATAGGGTAGTAAACTAGGACTTTATCATTGCAAATTTTGTGTTAACTAGGTCGTCGTATAAATAACCAACTTGCTCTGCATCTAGTGGACTTTGTCATTGCAATCTTTGTGTTAACAACTTGTCGACTCAATAACCAACTCGCTCTAGGTTTAATGGTGCTTGTTTTCTCAAACTAGTGCATGGCAGACCAACGGGTGACAATCCACTAACCGGTGGAGAAGTATACCTTCGGGTTCTACAGGTTTTGAGTGAGAGAGTAGAATTCTCTTCCCTTCTATTCCCATCCAAGTAAATCTTTATGATCGCGAAAGAAATTGATCAGATAAGATCCATCAGAATCTTTAACGATAACGAGTACGACCATTTAGAATTGCAAAGCAAAGGAGTCGAAGTTTCTTTTTCTTTTTTGGGTCGGAAGAAAACTTTGTTGATAAAAGTGGGGCAAGTCTTCAATAATTCGGACTATTAGTCAGTTCAGCTTTATATTTATTTTTGTCAAGTAAACAAAAATAGTGTTTCATAACCATTCATTTTCCGTACTTTTGAGTAGTCCGGACTATTTATTAAAGAAAAAGTGTGCGACTTTTTTTTTTTTTGGGAGAACAAGTGTGCGACTTTTTAACCAAAGAAAAATGAAAGAAAAAGAAAGTCCCGTGAACCATACACATCTTGAAAACCCATGCTTCATATGCAAGATTCAATTCAAAGATGATCAACTTGTGGAAAAGACCATGCTTTCAATATGAGTTCTCTTCCACATTCTCAAATATCCCAAATTTTCTTGACCACAAAAAGAAAAAAAACCCAAAATTAGGTAAGTAGTAGCACATATTTAAATGCTCAATGTAACAACCCGTCCCGATTATTTAGCGGAATTTACGGAACGAAAGGGTAATGTTGTAATTGGATTTTGGTTATGGGATATTAATTTAAAATATTGTTTTTAGGTCTTAATAGGTGTGCCCAAGAGGGGCCCACCTTTGGTTTGTGTTCCCCCAGCCTAATTGCTCTCTCTCCCTCACCTCTCTGTGAAACTCTCTCTTCTCTCCTCACTTTTTATGTTTTCCCCTCCCGAGCTAGACACCTCTCCCTTAACTCACTCACCCTCTTCCTTCAATTGATCTGAAACCATCAAGCTTAAAGAGGCCATTTACACTTGATCCTCACTCATCTCGTTCCTGTCAACATTACAACCTTGATGCACGGAGGAACATCGACAACTTAACTCAGAATCCAATGAATCCGAGGTGAGTCGATATGTTTGGGGTTGTATCCTTGTTCTAGTGAGTCTTTCGAGTTGTTTGGGATTTTTTTGGAGTTGAAATCAAGGGGTTTAACCCTGTGCATGCGTGTTCTTCGTTCCCCAGATTCCGGCAAGAAAACCGGTGACCTTCGTGTGGTTTTTCGACCAACTCCAGGCCGTTTCATGGCCTCCAATAGGTATATTTCGAATCTTGGTATTCTTAGCTTTATTATGGTTTTGAAATGGAGACTTTTGGTGGATTTTTTACCCCTAATCGAGCCGGGGAAATTTCCCGGCGAAAAACCCCTAGTTTCTGGTTTTCCCATCCATTGGGTCCGGCGACCCATGAGTGGAGTTGGGCTGGCCCAACCCTTTTAGCCTAAACCCCAAACCCCTTAT